CAAAAAAAAAAAAAAAAGTCCTCCATGTTGGAGAAGAGAGAGTGTTGACATGTCGTGGGGTTGTTAACCAATGTCATAAAACAATATGTCTACTGACTGTTTAATGAGAAACTATTTGTTCTGTAAACCTTCATCTAAAGTACAGTAAAAATATATTTAAAAAAAGAAAGAAAATGAGCAACTCTGCATTGTTTGCTCTTTCAGAGATTAAAGAAAAACCTCTAAGGACTATTTATTGTCATGAGAAATCATTGATGATATGCAATTAAACCAAAAATGAAGGCTGCCAAATTGTACAAGTGGTATGTTCTCAACCTGTCTAAAATACAGACAGTAGGAAAAAATACATCAAAAAATTGCAGTGGTGGGAATATGGAAAATTTTTTATTCCTTTGTCTATTCTTTTTTTTCCCCCAAATATTTAAGTTTTCCACAATGAGCGTATATTACTTTAACAATCAAGGAAGAAAAAAAAAAGAGGGGAGGATGTTAAAGCAGTTTGAGGTATTTTGCTATAAAATTTGATGCAGTATTCTGGGTTCAAGCCATCTCAAATGTAACAGGTCTGAATAAAGATCTCCTGAACTTGCTCCTCCTGATACCTTCTCCTTTCCAGTTAAAGGCAACTCCAGTCTTCCAATTGCTTAAGCTAAAAATCAGCAGTTCTCTTTGACTCCTCTCTTTCTCTCACATCCCACAGTCAATCTACCAGCCAACCCAGGAGGCTGTACTTTCAGAATGTATCCAGAGTTTTACCAACTTCTCCCTACATCTTCTGCTACTCAGCCTGGTCCAAGCTGCCGTCTTCTCTTGCCAAGAGGATGGCTGTAGCCTCCTCACTCTACTTCTGCCATGGCCTCCTTGTTTCAGTTTTCCACACAGCAGCCAAAACTGTTAAATATAAATCAGATCAGTCTCTCCTGTCCTCAGAGCCCTGTTACAGCTCCCTGTCTCACTCAGAGTAAAAGCCTTACGTGGTGGCTCTGTTGCTGTCTCTCTGGTCCCCTTGCCTAATTGCTTTCCATATTGCTCTCTCTCAGTTGCTCCTTTCTCATCTCAGGCTGTTTGCGTTTGCTATTCCTCTGCCAGGAATGTTCCTTTCTCAAATGTCCACAAGGCCACCCTCTCATTTCATGTCTTTACTCAAATATCATTGTCTCAGGAGGGCATTCCCTGAGCACTCCACCAATGCATGCACACACACACACACACACACACACACTCACTTCCTATCTCATCCCCCTTTGCTGCTTTAATTTTATCTATTTAGTCCTTATCACCATCTAACACAGTATGTACTATACTGATTTGTTTATTGCCCTTTCCTGATACCGTATGAAGGCAGAGATTTTTGTTTCTGTTTTTCAAGCTGAATCCCTGACACCTGGAACAGCGCCTGGCACGTAGTAGTTTCAGTAACTACTTTGAGTACCTACTATCATTGCTGAAGATGATTTGTTAAAGTTCTGTGATGACTATCTAGATGACCTTTCTGGGGCACTTTGCTTCTCAATTTACCCGCCTACATTGTGACACCTAAACTGTACCTGTTGACATGTTGCTTTATACTGATTACTTCTGGTTTGCTTTTCTCTCTTCATCTAAGTCAACAATTCCAAATGAATTGAAAAAGTCCATTTCTTCCCTAATATTAGGTTAAGTGCTCAGGCTTCTGATAAGTTATTTTAATTGAATTCCTTTCATTTCCTAACTTAACCATTACATATTGAGCCCCTACATTATTCCAGGGACTATTGGGGAATGGGAGTAAAATCAAGAAGACAGACATTGACTCTGCTCTTAGAGAGTGTACATCTAGTGGACAGACATAATTAAACAATAAATTACAGTACAACACAAAAAGTAAAATAAGGACAGTACCCAGCATGACAGGGACCACTGACCAGTAAGCATAATAAAAATCCAGGATCGACCATCAGATAAAAATGCAGAATTTCATAGAAGGTGGATGAGAAAGATGTGTATCAATAAAGCACGTTGCTTCTTTTATCACTGCTTTAAAAGATAGGATGACTTTTCTTCATGTGGGAGGCAAGGGGCAAAAGTAATTTATTTGGTTTGCTTACCAGGAGAGAAAGCAGGGATTAATGGAAAGAGCAGTGGCCTTAGAGTTAGAAGATCTAGATTTTGAATCTACCCCTGCAACTTTTCATCTGCAAGTGCTGAGAGCTCTTAACCTCTATGGATCTCCATTATCTCACTGGTTAATAAGCAGAGGGTAGTGTGTTAGACTAGCTCTAGAGACTGTCTATTGTACATGCCTTTCCTGAATTCTTAAAAGAGTCTTGGTGATACAGTGGTTAAGTGCTCCACTGCTAACTGAAAGTTCAGCAGTTCAAACCCATCAGCTGCTCCATGGGAGAAAGGTGTGGCAATATGCTTCCGTAAAGATTTGCAGCCTTGGAAACTATATGGGGCAGTTCTACACTGTTCTATAGGGTCGTTGTAAGTTGGAATTGAGTCGATAGCAGTGGGTTTGGTTTGTTTTTTGTGTCCTTATCCCTCAAGATTAAACGTAGGCACAAAGGCCAGTTAACATGGTAACTCAAGATAATTTTTTAAGGGTCTTTAATATTTTGATAGCCTGGGACTTGTCTTAAGTAGTACTGAATGCCAAAAAGATACCTCATTATTTGCTGAACTCATCATATTTTAATCAACTACTACATAACCATTCACACATATAAGTAAAATGGAGAAATGATGCCTGGATTTGTTCCTTTTGCTTTTCTTTTTTAGCCACTGTCCTTATGAAAGAGATAAACATCTTTCTGTATTTTCTCTTTTCATTTGAAATTATAGTTCTGAATGAAAATTGACTATTTTCCACTTAATGTAAACCAACATGTGGGAACAGAAATTAAAATGATTTTTATAACAGTAAGTATTTACTTTTTAAGTGGAAGCATGCCCCCTAGCTTGATAACCTATGGTAGTGACTGTAAATTGTATATAGTTTGCACAGCTATTCCCAAACTCAACAATTACACACAATGCCTAAAGTTTTTCTTTTTCTGGAGAAGCTTGTTTGAATAGTTGGAATTTACTAATTTACATATTTCTCCCCTGCCTTCTTTTTTTGTTTTGCAGCCTTTGCAACTGGACTGTGACCTTTGTGCCATAGTGTCAAACTCAGGTCAGATGGTTGGCCAGAAGGTGGGCAACGAGATAGATCGCTCCTCGTGCGTTTGGAGAATGAACAATGCCCCAACCAGGGGCTATGAAGAAGATGTTGGGCGCATGACAATGATTCGCGTTGTGTCCCATACCAGTGTTCCCCTTTTGCTAAAAAACCCTGATTATTTTTTCAAGGAAGCAAACACTACTATTTATGTTATCTGGGGCCCTTTCCGTAATATGAGGAAAGATGGCAATGGCATCGTTTACAACATGTTGAAAAAGACGGTCGACATCTATCCAAATGCTCAAATTTATGTGACCACAGAGAAGCGCATGAGCTACTGTGATGGAGTTTTTAAGAAGGAAACTGGGAAAGACAGGTGAGTCCTCTCTGAAGCAGCCTTCTTGTCTTTTATGCTAAGTCTTTGCTGAGTCCCTTTGCCAATTATCAAATGAACAGAGTAACTTTTCAGATTGATTGCTGTATGTTTTTGACTGTTACGGTTACTTGATGAGCTAGCAGCTAGGCCTCATTTCTTCCACCTACACTACCTTCTGTTCTCTTTCCCTTTTGACTGGCTTGAGGCTTCAAAAACACTAGATGCTTCCCAAAGGTATCTTTAGATCTTTTCTTATTTAGCTCAATTTGCTATTGATTAAGTTGGATTTTAGCTGAAAGAGGAAGCCCACACATTTCTGTTTCAAAACATAGAAATGTTAAGGAACCTTAGGATTATGTATTGACCTAAACTCCTTTAGAAATTGTGGTTAAATTTTACCTGAGACCACAAACAAAGCAGACTATCCATTCTCTGATAAGGTTGCATAGCTTCTTGCATGCAAATAGGCCTTGTGATCTTGAAGACCATAACTTGGTATCTAAAGCAGAACGCCGTATTGAAATTATACCTCACTTAAAATCATTAATAGCTGGATCCTTGAAGAGAAGTGAGGTATAAATACCATTCACTCAATTATCCAAACACCCATTTGCATTTTTTCATTACGTCTGTTTCTCCCACAGCATTTTATAAATTCCCCTTCCCACTTTCTTTTCTTCATACCTACGTGCCTCATTCTTCCCCTTCCTCTACTTCTCCTGCTTCTTCTCTCTCCTCTCTTTTCATCAGCATCATCTCCCATGTAACTCTTTGCCTGCCATTTTTTCCTTCCTCTTCAGGAAGGCAAGCAGGATAAGGGAAAGGAGTGGAATTACTAGTCAGTAGATGTTAGTTCATATATCTAGCTCCAATAAAAGAGCGACTGAAGGGAGGTATTGAAACCAATGACTAAAGTTTTAAATTATCTGTAAATTTTGCTTATCTGTGCAATGCCATGGATAAATCGAGCATTGGCCATAATTCCAATATTAACATTTTTATTTCCTCAGAATATATGTCTTTAGCTATTTAATATTATTAAATATAAACTTTTAACTATATTGAGATGTATGCGTGCTTGCTTATGGGGGGGTGCATCTTCTGATATCTCTGGGTATAATTTGAATGTTGATAATTATTTTAAAATCTTCTGCGGACAGACTCTCATATTGATATCTTGGGTTGATTTGAATTTAACATTTTCTACTTCTGAGGACCAACAATGCATAGCTTCATCTGAAATGCAAGATGGGAATAGCTATAATTCTGGCCCTTTCTACTGTTAGAGTTAGCAAGAGGAATCCCAAAGGTTAAATTTGAATCAATATAGCATAAGCTGTCCAAAAGAGACAGGCATTGGAGCTAGAAGGAGTAGGTATGTATGGTGCTTCCAAGAAATACTCTCATATAGTGCACCATTCCGTATAAACAAGACGATTCTCAATGGTCTTCAGAAATTTCTGGTCTCTTAATAGCCTCGAGCAATGCAATTAATTAGATAGATTTGGTTTTTTATTACTTGTAGTTAGCCCTCAGGGCACCCCCAAGTCATAAGCATAAGCCCTAGCATCCTTTGGGGGTCTCAGAGAAGAGCTTAGCATGCTGTTTGTTCCTATTTGTTTGGCCTTTGCTGTGAGCATACAGTGAGACAATACTGTCACAAATGTGTGGCTTGTACAATTAGAACTGGGGAAGAATAGTTTTGGGAGATTCATTTTCCTATTGCTGTGATGTGGAAAGCTGTTTGTATAGTGGGAAAAAAGTTTGCTTGGTAGAATTAATTGGTGGGTATCATTCAATGGGTTGTTGTGTGCTTTGAGTCAATTCCGACTCATGGCCACCCTATATGACAGAGTAGAACTGCCCCATACGGTTTCCTAGGCTGTAATCTCTAAAATACATAGAAAATGTCAACAACTAAACAACAACCAACAAAAAACAATCCAACAAAAAATGAGCAAAGGACATGAACAGACATTTCACCAAAGAGGACATTCAGGTGGCCAGCAAATACATGAAAAGATCATTAGCCATTAAAACAAAAACGTATTGCTGTTGAGTCGACTCTAACTCATAGTGACCCTATAGCTATTAGAGAGATGCAAATCAAAACGGTAAGGAGACACCCTCTCACCCCTGCAAAAATGGCAATGATCAAAAAAACAGAAAACAAATTCTGGTGAGGTTGTAGAGAGATTGGAAATCTTATACATTGCTGGTGGGATTGTAAAATGATACAACTATGGGAAACAGTATGGCGCTTCCTCAAAAAAATGAGAAAAAGAAATACTTATGATGCAGAAATCCCACTCCTAGGTATATTTCCTAGAGATGTAAGAACAGTAACACGAATAGACATATGCACGCCTATATTCATTGCAGCGTTATTCACAATAGCAAAAAGATAGAAACAACCTAAGTGCTCATCAATGGATGAATGGATAAACAAATTGTGGTACATACATGCAATGGGATACAACACAAGTATAAAGAATAATGAGGAGTCTGTGAAATATCATAACATGGAAGAATCTGTAGGACATTGTACCGAGTAAAATATGTCAATCACAAAAAAGACAAATATTGTAGGGTTCCTCTATTATAAAAGATCAAGAATAGATATACATACAGAAAGCAAAGTTCTTTGATGGTTACCAGGGATGGGAGGGAGAGGGAGGGGTAATCACTTTCTAGATAGTAGACACTTGTTACTTTTGGTGATGGGAAAGGCAATCCCAAATATGGGTGAAGTCAGCACAACCTGACCAAGGTAAATAAAGACACTAAAAAGTACATAAAAAAAGGGACAATATCCGTAAATGCTATAGCATATACAATTGTGCAACAACAGTAAAAACAACCAAAAAATATGTGTGTGGTTACATAGGTAGATATGGGTACATATATGTGTATAGCAAGGCACATGGGAGTAAATACATGTGCATGTATAGGTCTATCTGTAGGCATATGTCTACTCATGTTTGTGTGTGCTGCATATATATCCCCATATATAACAAACCACATAGGAGTCATGTTACGGAGCCTTCCTAGACATATGCAAACAGCTTGTGGGATTGGTTTACTGAGCCAAAAGGCTTGGGACCATAGTCTCGGGGAACAACTTAGTCAATTGGCATAACACGGTTCACAAAGATAATGTTCTACATCGAGTTTTATGAGTAGCGTCTGGGATCTTAAAAGCTTGCAAGCGGCCATCTAAGATACAACTATTGGTCTCTACTCATATGGAGCAAAAGAGAATGAAGGAGATCAAGGGCTCAAAGAAGAAACTAGCCCACGGGACTAATAGCCCACAGGAACCACAAGCTCTTTAAACCTGAGACCAGAGGAACTAGTTGATAACTTGGCTACCACTACTGACCGTTCTGACCAGGGGCACAATAGAAGGCCCCAGATAGAATGGGAGAAAAATGTAGCATAAAACTCAAATTCCCAAAAAAGGCCAAACCTACTAATTGATGAGACTGGAGGAACTCCCAAGACTATTGCCCTAAAACACTGTTTTAATTTGGAATTGAAGCTATTTCTGCAGGTCACCTTTCAGCCAAATAATAGATTGGCTTATAAAATAAACAACATCACCCAAGAGTAATGTGCTCCTTTAACCAATTAATTTTATGAGATGAAACAGTGAACAGTTACCCAAAAGCAAAGATGAGACAGCAAGGAGGGGAAGGGAAGCTAGATCAGTAGAAACAAAACAAACAGAATGGAAATAATGAGAATGCTGACACATTTTAAAAATTGTAACCAGTGACACAGAACAATTTGTATAAAAATTGTTAAATGGGAACCTAATTTGCTGTGTAAATTTCCACCTAAAACACAGTAAAATATTATTTTAAAAAACCTAATTTGCTATTAAATTTTCTCCAAAAACAGAATAAAGTGTTTTATAAAAATAAGCAATAATTCCTTTATATATTTAGTCCATTTTCAAATTTCTCCAATTATCTCATAAATATATTTTTTTATCAGTTTGTTTAAATCAGCATTAGCATAAGGTCCATACCTTGCTCAAATGTTGAAACCAGGATTGGTATAGTGTTCATACACTGCAACTGACTGACGTGTCTCCTATTTTTCTCTTAGCTTACAGTTCCCTCTTCCTCTTTCTCTCTGTTGAAGACACCTAGTCATTTGTTCTGTAGAGCTTTTCGTAATCTGGATTTTGCTGCTTGCATGTTCCCCATAGTATTTCTTTGTCATTGTCCTTTCTGTTTTGAGGCTTGATTGGATTCAGGTCCAAATTTTTGCCAAGACTATTTATGTGGTATTTCTATAAGAAGGAGTACTGTCTGATTTTCTCTCTTTTTATGATGCAAGCAACCATTAATGATCATTGACTACATCCAATAATACATTAACTAAACTCTCATTGCCATCGAGTCGATTCCGACTCATAGCGACCCTATAGGACAAAGTAGAACTACCCCATAGAGTTTCCAAGGAGTGGCTGTTGGATTCGAACTGCCGACCTTTTGGTTAGCAACCGAGCTCTTAACCACTGTACCACCAGGACTCCAAATAATACACTAGAGGTTGCAAAATGGTGGTATTTTATCATTCCCTTTTTATTTATTAGCTGAAATAATTTATAAAGTGAAACTTGCCCTTGTTAACCATTTGTTTACCATGAGGAATAATACAGTGCAGGTCCTTTCTCTTTATTGACCAGTTTTTGTGAATTGACTCCCTAGCATCATCTAAAGACGACTAGAAAGTTTATTATTATTTTCATATTGACTTATAGACTTTGAAACATATTTGAAGTGTTTTAATTTGTTAAATTATTATGCTATAGATGTTGAAATTGTCCTATTTTGGCCTGTGAGAATCCTTTCAAATTGGCTTGTGAGTCCTTTAGACAGGCCCTCAATGGTCTTTGATAGCTTATTTGCTTCCTGGCATTACAGGATGTTTCAGGCTTTTGTATATATCCTGACCCAGACCTGGTTTCAGAAATTTGTTTAATGAAC